CAAACACTAACCAAAAGAAAGCTGTGGTAGCTTATACTAGAAGCAGACAAAAGGTACTAAGCGAGATAGAAGGTCACTATATAAAGACAAAAGTTTTAATTCAACAGGAAGAGAGTACATTTCTAAACTTGTATGCACTTAATCCCATAGCTTCAAACTGTCTCAATGAAGAACTGAGTTCAACAAGCCCCTCTCTGGGTGACTGACAGCTCGAGCAAACGAGAGGATTGCTTTGTCACACAGGGATGATTTAAGGGACCGCATCAAGGAACTCTTCCTTCATCCTTCTGATTCTCAGTATTGATGCGACCAGGACTGTGGGAGTTAAGAACAGTGGGTGAAATGTGTGTGACTCACAGGACACTGAATAAATGATATGACTGATCGTACACCCCCACCCAAGTTCAGGATGCCTTTGGCTACCCAAGACTTCTGTCGTGGGTGTTACCAGATGACCATGGGGAGGAAGATCAAAGACTGATTTCATTTGTTCAGTAGCGTTTTCTAGTTGGAGAGAATGTCTCAGGGCCTCTCTGGAACCCAGGCATCTTCTGCTGCCTAATGAGACTCTTAGTCCAAATATAGGACCTAATCGGAAGTCCCAGTGTAGCTAGACCATAAAATTAAATTCCAAAAGACTATGAAAGGGCCTGAGACACCTGTCCTCAAAGCTCTGTCTCAAGGGGCAGGGCTAATATTGTCCAAGAGGTGGCTGGTTACTTTTTATGAATCTGAGACAAAGGGAATGTCAAGGCCTCACGGAGGCTCAAAGACAAGACACTGTAAAACTAACATTTTATGGTGGCCCAGAAAGAGACAGTCCCTTGTCTAAGGTCACAGAGTCAGCAAGCAACAGAGCCAGGAGTGGCCCCTGCTGACCCCAATCCATGCCTTCTGTGCCATCCGCTGTCTGTTGTAACTTCAGCACAGCCAGCTCTCCTCCCTTAGCGTCTTCCCTTCCTCCTGGCCCAGACAGCAGATACTCCTTTTGGATCCCAAGGTGCACATTTCACACACTTGGCTGTTGCCAGTTTACCATCTTGGTGCCCAAGATCCAGAATGCCTTCATCCAAGGGCTTAGCTTAGCTGAGGAAACACCCAGATGGAGAGGCCTCAGCAGTTTTATACTGACATAGGATGGGTGCCACTCACACTGGGAACTTCCACAGACCCTCTCCTCCCCCTTGCCCACCTTTCCATATAGCTTCAATCATCTAATACATGGTCTGTGATTCCTCGGGGAAGTCTTCCCCATTCCATGGCTGGGTTAAATACTGCCTCCACATCCCCGAGCCCCTGCACTCCCTCAGTCTCAGCACTTCTCACCCAGCGTGGGGGATCTGTTAAGCTGGCCCCCTCACCCACTAGGGTGCAAGCCCTTTGAAGGCAACCACTGTGAAGAGCTGTGCCTATAATGTCTAGTCCAGGGTCTAGCACCGATTAGCTCTTCAATATACATTCAAATGCGTGAACAAAAGGGTCAGTGACTCCGTTACCAGGAGGCCGACTGCTCTTTGCTGTCCCAAGGACCTAGTACATTGCCAGCAAAATATTTGTTGAATGAATAAATGAACAAATAGGCGAATCCATTCTATGAAATCAGCTGGTCAGTGTTTGCTGGAGACTTACAAGACATCCGGAATGTGGGAGGCCTGCATTTGGGCCCCCTAATCCCACCCAGCCCCGAGGGATTCCTCACACTTCTCCTCAGGCTAGAGGTGGTCCATCATGGCGGATGTTGGAACATCCTCGGGGCCAGAAACCCAGGCCTGTGCTTGCTGCTGCATCCCTCTCTAGAGTGCCCAGCATTGTGGACTGTTATTTAGAAGACTGCCAAAGACTTGGTTGCTGAGAGAAGAGGCAGATGGCACACCAGGTGCTGGCTGAAGTCATGGAAAGAGCCCTGGCATCAGTCAGTTCACTGCTCCTGGGCAAAGTTCCTGAGGGTTTTTTCAGCCCAAGTTTCCTCACCTGAACAATGAGGATAATAAAACGACCTCTGAAATTTGTGAAGATTAGATAAGGTACATTAAGTGCCTAATCCCGAGTAGGTTCTTGTAACTCAGACGTCTGTTTTCCCATTTTCACACCCCCAATGTCCTGTTTTCAGTCAGGGGCTACAGGAACTCAGCTGCGGGGCAACAGCAGAGGCAGGATCGACGCCTGCCGTGTTCACTTCTGGCCCCTTGAGTGATCTTAGAATTTGACCTACTCCATCCCACTCACATCCTAGAGACTGATTTTCCTCTTCATGAGTTTGCTGAAAGCAAAGGTAACTATCCCAATTATCATTTTTTAAAGAAGGAAATGTATTTCTTTGAACTAAAATCACATTTGCCTTAACAGCGACACCATACTCAAAAGGGACTCCCAAAGAAGTTCCTTGTTTCCATTCTTTGCCCTTCTTCATCTGACGCTGCTGCAGTCACCCACGGTCTGGCCTCTGGGTACAGGCAGGAAAGGGACCTCGGAGGCTGGGACTCCTAGACAAAGGATGTGCAGACCTTCAGTCCCCAACCCCGGCACCCCCAGCCCTGCTGGGCTGCATTCACAATGGTCCTGGGTATTATGCATTGGTTAAGCCATGGCACAAGATACAATCGCCCATCTAATAAGGAAGGACTCAAATCTAGGGGTGTGTGGGGGTGGATCTGAAATTGGCTGCTGTGATTCCAACACTGACGGACATCACAAGCAGGCAAAGGAAGTCGAGGCAGAGAGGTGAGTCAGGTCCTCGTGTCCCTTCCGAACAATTACAGCAGTGATACATCCAACCTCACTTCATACACTTGCCCTGACCATTTCCCACAACCACACATGCATTTCCTAAACCACAAACACGAAAGTGTAGATGAGCTGCTCAAACTGTTGCATGGCTCCCCATTACTCTGCTTCTCAAGTTTTCAGCACACCACCCTTAACCTCAGAGAGCCCTGCTGCTCCAAGTGTGGTACCTCGACCAGCAACACAGGCATCACCTGGGAGCTTGTTAGAAATGCAGGTCAGGTCCTTAACTACAGGATTAGAATCTGCATTTTAATGAGACCCCAGGGATTCAGATGTATTTTTAAGGTTTAACAGCATTACTCTAGGGGTCAGGACAGGGCCAGAAGCAGCTCAAGTGGGAGACTTCTTCAGCCAGTGGTACGTCATTTTAAAAATTGAAAAATATTTTTCCTGTCAAGCATTCAAACAGCTGACTATTCAGAATGCACCAATAGATGCCTTAGCATCAGGTACTCTACAGCACACCTACACACAGCTGGGAGCACAGAGAGCCCAGGTGCGGAAGCTCGGACACACAGGATCAAGTTTACACTCCTCCAAGTCATATGAAGACCTCCACAAGCACGCCTCCTACCTCCCTCATTGCCTCCCCGTTCCCTTCAAACGCCCACGAACCGCCTCCACCGTGCCCCATTTCTACCTGCTGACGGACTCCCAGGGTTAGTTCTGGACTCCTTCTCCGTGCCTGGGGTGCTGTTCAGGTAGCTGTGCTCATGCTTCCAGGGCCACACCAGGAGTCCTTGGTCTGAAAAGCTGTCCAACTCCCTGATGCTCAGCTGACTCCCTCCTTGTGCTCCCACCACAGTATAAGCACAGGGTGTCCGTGCCTCTTTGCCTGAGGCAGTCCTGGTTTATGCTTGGGGTCCCAGACTAATTATCACTAGGGCCACCTTTCACTTTCAGAACCGCCCCCGTTCTTTGACAAATGAGGTAGTTACCCTAAACAGGTGCTCAGGCCACGAGCCTCAGAACCATGGTTGAATCCTGGCCACATCCACATCCTGTCAGCCCCTTCAGAACGCAGTCCAGCCTCACCAGTGCCTGCAGTGACCACTTTCTCCCTGCTGTCTGTGGGTTGCTCCCCTACCCTCATCCTTGCTCTGCCCGCAACTGTCAAGTTTCAACACAGCAGCCCGGGAGCCTCTTCTTATGTCATCAGATCCTGTCACTCCTCTGCTTATACCCTCAAGCCACTTCCCATGTCACGTGCAGTCAGTGATTGCTCTTTCTGACCCCGCTGTCTACCACCTGGGCCTCATGCTGCTTCTCACCTCCTCACCCTTTCTTCCACGTGCCTGGACTACTTTCCCTAGACATCCCTGTGTACATTCCACCCGTCCGTCTTTGCTCAAATGTCACTAGACCAGAGAGATCAACTGACCATCCTCCATAAAACAGCAATGCCTCCCCCCCAACACCTGTTTTTTTAAAATTTTTTTTAAAGAACTTATCACTATCTGATATACATAATTTATTTCCTGCCTTACTGTGGCCAGGCACTTTTAAGCTCCTTAGCAACATCAGATCCAAGTGTACAAGCACTTTGTTCCCTGATGTGCCCCAGAGTCTGCGTGCATTCGATTTATGTCGAATCAAAGACTAGCACTGGGGGCACCATACTGTGATTATGTGTTTACAGACCTGTCTCAACCCACTAGGTCGCCTCTCCTGGAAATTCCTTGTGTCCGGCAGAGTATGGAGTGGCATATGGTCCCAGCAAACGTTACGTGACTGAATGAACTTCAGCTCCCTGCAGGCAGGGGCAAGACCAGATGCTTTCCTGAGGCCCCTTCCTGCTTCCCGCCTTCTCCTCCCTCCTGTTACAGTCCCTGCAGATCAAACTTGCCTCTGGGCTACAAGCTTTTGAACACGTTCCTAAATCATAAGCATTTAACTTCCAAGTGACAATGATGACAATCAAGAAGAAACTTTCGTTCTGAAAAAAGTTTATTTATCTCACCTTTTTCTGGCCAAGTCAATGGCTTTGGTCATGGCTTTCAGCATTTGTTTTTCCAGGCAAATGAATTTTATCATAACAAGCTAGAGCTCTGATCTCAACCCCTGTGAGGTCTGCTCTGATGACCTAGGCTGAACATCATCTAAGCCTGGAAGAAGCCTCCTGCTATCAGTCTGCGGCCCACCATGGCCAGCTCCATGCTTTCCTCCCCAACCCCTCCAGAGCTCATGTGCATTTGTGGCAGAGAACCCCCTGCAATGCATTTTAAAAAGTTTACCCCAAAGTCAGCAATACATGTAGTACCTAGAACTCATCCCTTATTCTAGGTTACTCACCAGACAGGTTACATGATGTGCACCAGTTAACATGCCACAGGAAAACTACATTTCTCAAAAAAATAAACACAGAAAACCAAAAGAACACAGGTCTCCTCCTTTGATGTGACACTGCAGAATCCCAGAATTCATACACCACCACTCTCCATGCCCAAGAGTCCTCTGGGCCTTCTCAATCTTATCCAACAAAGTAGTGGCATCCACCCCCTCGACTGGGGCCTGGGTTCCTGCTTCAGCAGCTGCAGCCAAGTAGTGTCTTCTCTCTTGCAGAACTCTGACCTCATGTCTCTCGTGGGCCCCCAAATTCCAGAAAGAATGAAAAAACAGCAAAGCACTACAGTATACTTCCAGACTTTAAAAATACAATTAAACCACAGTAACAAACATGACTACACAGCAGCTTACAATCTAGGCTCTATTTTTTATGTGAGAGTATTGAATTAAAAGCTGTCTTTTCCAAACTGAATGCGCCCCATAATCAAAACCCACATATGACAACATAATACTGAAATCACCTACCAGAATGGTACTGAAAATGTAATGTTTAACATGGCGAAAACGTAGATAGAAAAACAGGGGAGAGAAAACGACAAACTCTCTTGGTTTCAGCCTCTCCAGTCACAGTCCTCCTTACCAGCTGAACGGAGTCCATCAGTGGATAACCTAAAGTAGAGTGGGGGAAATTCGTCATCACAACGTAAACTCTAAAGACTCTCATGTCCTGGAGTCAAACAAAGCAACTCCATCACCCGTGCAAAATGCTACCCCTTGCCGTAACGTCATCCGAAACGCTCCAACCTCATCACAGCATTTACACGTTTCCACCCTGTACTTCCGTTTCAACACTTCTCTAAGCACCTCTTCTTTTTCTGGCCCGATGGCCTAGGTTTTCACCCTAGTAACTGAGCTGGTCCATATCCCGCAAATACTTTCCTAAATGTAATCTTTACATCTCACCACAACATAAATTACTTTCTTCCAATTACCAACGTCAAAATAATGTTATCTAAGCTAAAAGCTCAACACGGTCTTAGCCCCACTTCCCCGCAGCCGCCTCCCACCGCCCAGTGTTGATGCCCTCGATGCAGGGCATTACGAGGACTCGCCAGCAGGCCGGCTGCCCGCGACCCCTCGCGGACCGAGCCTCACCGGCTCCGTCTCCCTCAGCGGCACTCGCAGCCGTCGATCTGCCGGTGGAGCTCCACGAGCCGCTGCCCCATCAGCGCGGCCTCCGCGGCCTTCTTCTCCACCTTCTCGCACAGCTTCCTCACCCTCTGCTCCGCCTCGGCGCCCGGGCTCCGGCCGGGCTCCAGGGCGCGCTCCTCCGAGGCCTCCACCTCGCTCGTGACGGCGTCCAGCAGGCTCTCGATCTCCAGCAGCTTCCTGCGCGCGCGCACGTGCGCGCGCACGTGCTCGCGCTCGAGGGCGGCGACGTCGCGGCGGGCGGCGTCGAGCGCGCGGCTCAGGAGCCTCTCCCAGTCCTCCTCGGGCTCCCGCTCCTCGTCCGCGTCCAGGGGCCGCATCGCGCGGCCGCCGCCCCGCGGCCCGGTCACCGCGCCCGAGAGGCCGGCCGGCCGACAGCGAGCGCCGGGCGCAGCGGCAGCGCCACTGGAACGAGCAACAGGTTCTTTCAACTTTTCGCAGCAGAGACGGCGTCTAAAATGGATTCGCAGCCGTCTGCCAAAGCTCTGTTACTTGCGGCCTTTTTACGACACGCCAAAGTTTCTTTATGGCCACACAGCCGGTGGGAACAAAGTTTCCGGCGTACTCCCGCCTAGGCCGTGCGCGCGCACGCACGCACATACACCTGCAGGCGTGCTGCTCCCGGTCCTGTGGACCCCAGCGGGAGGGCGCTGTGCCGTGCTCTCTAGCGCTCTGGCTCTCTTGGGGTTTAGTGCCGAGGTTCTAAGACTTTTTGAACTTTGAAGTCGACTTCTCTGCACTAGTATAATAAAATAACTTACTGTCACTATAGCGCTTACTCTGTGATGCTCTGTTCTTAACATTCTAAATCGTAAACAACAGAATTAACTTGGTATGTTAGAATCTTTTATTATTTTTTATTTTTGTGAGGGAGATCAGCAATGAGCTAATATCCGATGCCAATCCTCTTTTTGCTGAGGAAGACCGGCCCTGGGCTAACGTCCATGCCCATCTTTCTCTACTTTATATGGGACGCCGCCACAGCACGGCTTGACAAGCGGTGTGTCGGTGCACTCCCGGGATCTGAACCTGTGAACACTCGTGCCAACAGAGTGGGGTGTGAGCACTTAACCGCTGTGCCGCCAGGCTGGCCCCAGGTTGAGCTCTTGAACTTCTTAGTTAGCTGAAATGCATCTGCGTCTTCTGAAGGATGATAAGATTATTGGAACAGAGACCTCCTTCCTATCAGAGTCATCTCCCACATTCCTAAGTTTAATGGCTCATTTCAACTGACCCTCACCCTGATGATTACCTTGTGCCTGGAATTTGTTAAAGGACATTCCTGCCCTTTTTTTTCTTTGCCCTTGTTAGCCTCATCTATAAAACCTTCCTTCTCTCTTTCAGCGATGGAAACACAATTCAAAGGCTGCTTGAGTTTGTGCTTTTCCAGAGCTGCAGTCCTAACAAACCCGGAATAAACTTCTTTTTGTTTAAGTCTATCAGAGTCTACCTCATAATTGGTCCACAGCTTAGGCCACGGCCATCCTCTTAACCACTGCTTGCTCACTCTTGCCTCTTGGCCAATTGCTTTCCCCAAACACTAGTTGAGAACTGGGATATCCCATCGCTGATGCTAACAGCCCTGTTCTCCTTACTGCCCAACCCAACCCCTGCCCCTGTTTTAATCTAAAGGGTAAGTTTCATTCTGCCTTGGATTTTGGTCATACGTCTGCATCTTGCTTTACCAGACTGTAGTGTAGGTCTGATTCAGCCCCACCTAACACCGAGTATGTCCTTGGGGAATAATTTTGAAATAATACATTCTTTACTAAACTATCTTAGCACCTATATGAGACAACAGGCCCTGGGGGCAGGTACTTAGTCATCTATTTCCCAACAACCCTCACTGGGCTTGGCACATAGCAAGAGCTCAGTTAATGTTGCTTTAACATTATTTCCCAACAGATATTTTTCTATGCACCTCTTATATTGTTATTGTGGATGGATGAGGTAAATTTCTGGGCTTGTTCACTCGGTGTACCTCTAGCAGAAAATATTGGAGATACCCTCTTTGTTAGTTAGCCAAGGGTCACTCTCAGCGCCTATGGTTGTTCCTTGCACATGACCCCCTCCGTCTTCAAAGCTAGCAACAGCATGTCAAATCCTTCTCATCCTTTGAATCTCTCTGACATCTACTTCTCCTAGCCAGAGAAAATTCTACTTTTAAGGGGTTCACATGATTAGGTTAGATGTACCTGAATAACCTCCTTTTTGCAATATAATGTAACATAATCACAGGAGTAATACCAGGGAGCCAAGATCATGGCGGACCATCTGAAAATTCTGCGTAGCACAGGCTCCTAGGAATCCTAAGGGCATGATCTCACAGCAGCCAGATTTGACAAAAGTAGCATTAATTAAGTCTAGAGAGCTAAACCATCTCAATAAGAGTTGTCTGGCTTTTGGTACATGAGTGGAATGGAATAAAATACATAGGAACCCCACAAAATTTTTGAGGCACCCATATTAGCAAAAATACTGCCAGCCTGGATCAAAAGAGACTGAGACTGTTCAAAATGTAAAAAGATTTCTAGGCTCTCAATTTTCTACCAGCAGAAAGCAGGCTCAGTAGCCAAAACTGATATGCTTTTCAATGCCCTCCTCAGAAGTGGCCAAGGAGTGTGATGGAAAAGGAAGAACATGTTGGAGAGCACAGACAAGTATTGTGGAGAACAATGGACAAGGGCAGGGGTCAGCAAATTATAGCCCTTCAACTAAGAATCGTTTTCACATTTTTAAAGAGTTAAAAAAAAAAAGTGATGAAGAATAGGAATATATGACAGAGACTGTATGTAGCCCACAAAGCCTTAAAAAATGTACTCTCGGCCCCTTACAGAAAAAGTTTGCCCACACCTGCACTAGTGAACCACTTCTAGGTTGCAGGACCAAGGCCTAATCAAGGAATATTCTTTATCCTTAAAGTGGAGAGGCCTGGCAATATTTGCCCCACGGAATGTCAAAATTGCTGTAATTCAGTGATTGCTGTTACTGATCCTTCTGATACTGGCTCAAGACAAGGTTGACATAAGGGAAGCCATATTGTAGAAAAGAAACCATATTGTAACTTTGAATGACCTCTGATTAACTAACCTAGACATGCTCTGTGGATTTTATGGCCCCTCCCAGCTGCTATAAGTTGATAACTTTATTCTCTTGAGATCCTTAGGAATGTGATGACCCTGGGGCAAAGTCTATGCTGATACCATCATCAATGAAAACTGAAAGATCAGGGTATAGGGCATTGCTCTGGTCTCTGATGCACATCCAGTAAAACAAAAGACTATCAGGAACTAAGAAGAGATGAATGCCTCCACCCTGAGACCAGATACCTCCCCCACCCAGACCAGCCCCTTATATAACTGGCCTATAGTCTTTGTTCTGTAAGATGGTTCTTTTGGACATTAGTTGGCCATCTTCCTTCTTGCTAGCAAGCTGTAATAAACTACCCTTTCTCCACCACCATCTTGCCTCTTGATGATTGGCTTTTGTCTTGCAGCTAGCAGATTGTGCCCTTTGTGCGGTAACACTTCCCTTATAAATGGATGTTATCCTTTCCCTGTCTTGCCACTGTATCTTGGGTCTATGTGGGTGTTATGGACTGCATGTTTGTGTCTCCCCAAAATTCATATGTTGAAACCCCAGTCCCCAACTAGATGGCATTTGGAGGTGGGGCCTCTGGGAGGTAATTAGGTCATGAAGGTGGAGCCCCCATCATGGGATTAGCGCCCTTATAAGAAGAGACACCAGGGAGCTAGCCAACTCACTCTCTCCACCATGTGAGGATCCAGACAGAAGGCAGTGATGGGGTTCAGGGCAGGTTGCCCTGAGATGTGCCACTCTGGTATGCAGATTATTCTGAGCTGAAGACAATACAGGCTCAGAAGACTCTGAAAGAAACTTTGACCTCCCCCCCACCAACTGCTTAAGAGGATTTAAGATAGAAGGCCTATCCCCAGGACAGGCCATCACCATAGATAACTCTGGGTAAGGATAGACTAGGAGGGTCCTTCCTAAGCCCATTCTTATCAAAGTTCTGTTTACCAAAAATTTACATTTGTAAGGAAAAATCTCCATTTGTAAAGATATTTCCCTCTCGTACCAGGAAGAAGGGGGAATGATCTCATCTCTAGAAACTTATCATTGCAGAAGGCAAGGCCTTAAATCTGCATAATAATCTTTCTCTTGTTTACTGTGCTTTTCTGGTAAACTACCATAGCTGACTCTCTCCCCCACCCCCAACATCCTCCTTTGTCTTTAGCTGAAGATAGCATTTAAGATGAGAACCTCTGCCATTTTGTCCAGTTACTCACTTTCCCTGGGTCTTTCCCAGGTATACATGTTATAAAGCTTTATTTGATTTTCTCCTGCTATTTGGTCTCATTTCAATCTAATTTGTAGCCCAGTCAGAAAGGACCCAGAGTAGGTAGAGGATAGTCTTCCTCCCCTTCAGCAGCCATCTACAAGCCAGGAGGAAGGCTCTCACCAGACACCAAGTCTGCCAGTACCTTGATCTCGGACTTCCAGCCTGCATAACTGCAAGAAATAAATGTTGTCGGGGCCGCCCCAGTGGCGCAAGCGGTTGGGTGCGCGCGCTCCGCTGTGGCGGCCCGGGGTTCGCTGGTTCGGATCCCTGGCGCGCACCGACGCACTGCTTTGGCAAGCCATGCTGTGGCGGCGTCCCATATAAAGTGGAGGAGGATGGGCACGGATGTTAGCCCAGGGCCGTCTTCCTCGGCAAAAAAAGAGGAGGATTGGCGGATGTTAGCACAGGGCTGATCTCCTCCCAAAAAAAAAAAAAAAAAAAAAAAAAATGTTGTTTTAAGCCACTCAGTCTACAGTATTTGTTATAGTAGCCTGAACTAAGATAGTGAGCAATAAGTTGTCTTTCAAAAAGTTCATAGGCCCCTGGACCATGAAAAGCCATATTTAAACCTGATGTGGATCACGAGACCCTGGACTTCTGACCTGATACTGTTTGGAAGATATTTGGGGGGATCCTTAGATGAGGATGAGGAAATCTTACATAAGCAATTGGGGGCAATGGGGGCAGATTGTGGTAGATTGTATAAATGATCCCAATTCTCCACCCCTTCCTGTATCCATGTCCTTTGCTGTGTGTTTTGCTTTGGCCAATGAGATGTTAGCAGACACGACACAAGCACACACTTGAAGCATGCTAACACAGTTGGGCCCTCTTTACTCTTGTGTCTCTGCCTTGGCTATTAGAACAACATGCTGGGTTGTCTCACTGGTCTCAGGAGGAAGATGAGAGGAATGTTAAACCAAGCTGCCCTAGACAGGCCCAGCCCAGATCAGCCAGCCCACAGACACATTACTGAGCCAGTCTAGATCATCCAACTCCCAGCCAAACTGAAGACACCAGAGAATTGTTTATTGTTGTTACTGGGACTTAGGGTGGCTTATGCATCAGAAGATAACTGACACACTTAGTGTGAAGCCTTTCTAGGTGAAATTATAGTCCCAGATAAATTAAAATGCCAAACTCCTCTCCTCCATATTTTTATTTAGCTCAGTCTCAGGTGGAGAAATCTC